CCAGATCAGTGAGTCCAGAGACCAGGGTCAGGGTCGCCCCAGAGCACCACCTCCACAAGCAGCACAGCAGAAGAAGGAAACAGCTTCGGGAGCCTGCAGCTCCAACGGTAGCTTTGGAATCCAGCCCCTGGGCTGCCCACGCTTGACTGTTTCTGGCTAGATCCTCACAGCCAGGAGCTTGGGAGACTCCCTTCTGGACAATTTGCACTAATATAAGAAAGCTGTAAAACATGGTGCAGCCCAGTGCAGGCTTCATCTAAAGTTGGACACAAGTTACTGGCAAGTCCCTCAAGTTTTAAAAGGATCTTAAGATGTTCCAAAAGAATAAACAGGTATCTTTTTTAATACCTGATTAAAAATCAAGGTCACTGCAAACAATGAAAAGTTGCTTTCACCCAAATAAGAACAGCAGAGAGCCAATTACCCAGTGAAGCAAAGTGATAGGAAGGGGGGGGGGCTCTCAGGTACTGCTCTAATATAGAACTGCAACCAGTGCTTAACAACAGTCAGGAAAATCATCGCTAAATCACCCCCAAGCCCCAGGACAGGCAGAGTGAGTAGGTTACTCACCCTATGTGAAATCAGGTCCATCCACTCCCACTGCTGTGCCCTAGCACACCACCATCATTCTAAAAGCCCTGTTATATACCATGGAGTCTTCTTACTCCATGCTCTGAGTTTGGACTATTATTTTGCTCCTACTACCATGCAAGGATTCAGGAAAAAAAATACTAACCTTCATCAGAAATAACCTTGAGGGGAGTTGGACCATAGTTAGAGAAGACACTAGACTAAGAGGTGAAGGGAAAAAGATACCAAACTGGGACAGATGACTGAATTTGATTAAAGTGAACCATGAGTTGCATTAAATATACATACAACTTGTAAATTAAGACTTAATATTTTTGAAGCCAGGCATTGGGGAAAATGCTCAGTTTGAAACATTTGATTTCTTAGGTTAAATTTTATGAAGGAAGTACTAAAGAAGCAGAAAATACACTAATATACATTTGGTGAATAATAAGATAGTTCTTGATTAAAATTACTTAAAAACTATTAAATAGCTGGGCCTGCTGCACACCCCTGTAAACCTAGCTATTTGGGAGGCTGAGGCAGGTGCAAATTCAAGGTCAAGCTGGGCAACTTGGCAAGACCCTGAAAAGCTACGAATACAGCTCAGTGGAGAGTGCTCCTGGGTTTGATCCCAATACCAGAAAAAAATAAACCACCAAAACAAAAATAACCCACCAGAACATAAGCAAGGGAAGTATGGCTCAACAGTCTAGAAATCTACAGAGGCCAAAAAAGGAAAGATAATGAGGAATGTATTAACTGGCCCATAACATTTACATAAATAAATGTAAACATTGGCTACGGTTTCACTTTTACAGTCAAGCTGTACATAAAATAAGAGAGACTATGGTTTAGGTTAGAATGCAAATACTAACTTTGGAACAATAAATGTGTAATTTACAGATGTTATAATGTAGAAAGAGAAATGGAAGAAAAAGGTTACTACTAATAACATCTCACAAAGTATACTTCTAAGGTGAGTTAAGGAGAGGTAAGTTAAATCCTTACCTACCCAACATAAATCTCCCTCCACAGCAGACTAAAATATATGTATATGTAATGGAAACAGCTAGGAATGGTTCAAGGTGATTTACAGAATGTATGGTGGCAATTAGGAAAAGGGGCAAAAAATATTTCTTTTATAAACATTTCCTCTATTTTCTAATCTTAGACATATGTCACTTGGATTTTTTAAATGTATTTTGTAGAGGGTCTCCTACGCAGCTCAGACTCATAGTGATCCTCGTTTTCAGCCTCCTCAGTGCTGGGATTACAGGCATGTACCACCACGCCTGGACTCTGTGGCCAGTTCATTGCACCAGGCCAGTGTAGCACATGGTGCTGGGGATGGGTTCCTGAGCTATCTTGCCAACCCTACCTTGATAATTTTTGAAGAAATCATTCAAACCTATACCTAGAAATGGAAAAATAAACATAAAGATACTTTCAGTTAGTCTGTAAAGATGTTCAGATGATTTGTAACTTTCTATCTTTGTACTGATTCAGCAATAAATATACTCTGACAAATCAAGTAAAATAAAAATCTTAAAAAGGAATCTACACAGCTATGGCTAAGGAGCTTAAGAGTAAAAAAGTAATGAACTATAAATGCTCTTTGTAAACAATACAAATTAGCAAAAAAATTAAAACATAGACATCATAAACAATCTAAACATTTTCAGTATCAGAATTCCTACACATCCACACGTGAAACACACACACCAATGATCAACTGAAATCAGAGTAGTCTACTTTTCACTTTTCATTTACACCACACACACACACACACACATACACACTTTACTCAACTCTATTCACTTTTTCATTTGTGATTTCTGTCTTTGGAACTTAAAGTCAACCTTTATTTCCAATTTAAAGGTTTTTAACACTGTATTTTATAGTCTGAATATTTTATAGTTCACATGAAACTGAGTATGGTGGGGGTACGTATCTAATCAATTATTCTACCACTGTCTGCTAAATACCCTTTCCTTTTGCATATGTGGCACTCTTATGAACTAAATTCATATACAATACCTTGGGAACTTGTTACTTGAGATTGTTACATAGACCGTTAGATTGATAGTAACAAACTCATCATTTTTGCCTAAACTTCATTTGGCTCTTTGTTCCAGAAAGCCATCTTTGTGGCTGGACTTAGGGCCCCTTCGCTCCCCAATATTTATAAATTTGTTTTAGTATCTTCGTTTTCACCGTGGCTTGCACTGGAAGTGGTACACTGGAACTGATTTGGTGGGATACTAATAATGTACCTTTGGGATTACAAATATTGACTTCTTGGACCAAAACAAGAACCTGGAGGGAACTCCTACAATTGGTGCTCAAGGTGGCCGGGTCATACAACCTTGTCAACATAATGACCACTAACCAGAATCATATGCAGGTAATCCACTGGACCTTGTGTGACCAACTTAGAGATGGAGAAACATTATGGATTCCATCCCGATGTGTGAATCCATGGACCAGTCAGCTCCATGATGGATCATCATCACTCAGAAGCACTGAGACACTTCAACCCCCCAATCAAAGGCTTCCAGAGCCTCATATCAGAAAGTCTCATCTCCACCCACTGGAGCAGTTCCATGGTAAATATCCAATGCATGGGTACAACCTGTCAGAACCTCTGCCTAAACCTCAAGCAATGCACCTAATAGCGCATCGCCCAGTCATGGGACGGCCTGAAGCAGACCGTTCATGAGGCACACCACCTTGTTGATGGTGTGCCAGGGTTGACTGACTCAATCACCTGAAAATCTTTTCATTGCTATGCTTGCTTTTCTAGCAGCTACATGTGTCACAGAGGATTCTCAGCCCAACAACAGCTATGGGCTATGGGGCCACAACTGACACTGCTCCAGCTTCTTCAAAACAAAGAAGGGGGAATTGTGGAGGACCACCTGAGCAGCTCTCCTTGAAAGAATAGTGATTGTCTCTATTTTGCCTGCACCTGATCCTATTTTCTTGTATAAATACATAAAAAGCTGGCCAGGACTTCTCTCTATCCTTTCAATTGGCCTTAAGCAATGTATATTGGTGCTGGTGATAGTCTTTGAAGGTGGCATGTGTGTTTTTCCCTGATAACCTTCATCTGCTGCTCTTTAATGTGAGCTGGGTCAAGACAGGATGAAGAGCTAATGTGCCACACCACCAGCTGGGATCGAGCCTTGAGATAGAGGTTATGACTTCCTGGGGTTTAAAAGATTATATCAGAGTTGAAGCACCAGACCCCCGAAACATTAGATACCATCTCAACAGCATAATGCAAATTACTTTCTCTGCATATCCTCTCTGCATATGGCAGAGGTAAATATAGGCCACCAACCTAGCTCAGCTCACAGTACTCACCTACTTCCCACAATTCTCAGTCATTCCTCCTCAAGCCACTCGTTCTCCACTGAATAAAACCTGGGTACAGCCCTGCATCAGTCTCTTTGTTCCGGAAAGCCAACTTCATGGCTGGACTTAGGGCCCCTTGGCTCCCCAGTAAAAAAAAATTAAAAATAAACTTCATTTGTTTCATATGAATGTTTCAGATCATTCATTTAATACCTTATATTCTGGGCATAGTAAGTTTTAAAGATACAATGGTGAATGAAAAAAATAGGGTTCTTTCTCTCATCTATTGTAAAATACGAATCAAAACCAATGCAAGAGTAGCATTTTTGTTAACATTTTTTGAGTTTGAAGACTGATTCTCATTACATCTGTGTAGCTAGTACATCATACATTAATATTTACTTTATGTAAGACTTTTTATTCACTGTGTTAAGTTTCACAAAATGAAATGTATTCAGAACTGTGATAAGAATAACAAAAAATCAAACATGAACTGTAAAGCTTAGAAGAAATGTGTTTCATCTTTTATTTCCAAGAAAAGTGTGTATTACAAAAAAAAAAAAAAAAACATTTGTTATACCATTGAGTACAGAGCTCATATCACAAACATTTTACTGTTTGCAACACACATCTGATGGTCTAAAATCAAAATCACCTTTACAGGCTTTAGTTTTCCACTGTTTCGTAAAAATCACATTATAGTGTTATCACATTATAATGACACACTATTATTTTAAAGGCTCAAGTAAAATTGAGACCCGATAATTTTAAAGCAAATTTTTATATCTTACTGTTTTATAGAATAAAAAAACATACTAAGATAGCACTTACACATGCAACATATTTCAATTGCTTGAATATTCTAGAAATAAGACATTCAGAATGCTTTAATACTTCCAGTTAACATCATTTGTATCAATAACCGCAACATTGAACATTTGAGCATTAGCCAAAAAAGATATTTTTTAAAGGATGATAGGAGATACAAGAATGTCAGTCTTCACATTTCTGTATAAAATTTAAAAATCAAAACGGTCTTCTCAGCATCAAAACTGTACCACAGACTTGAACCACATCTTTTTTAGCTCTAATCCCATGACTCTTCATCAACTGGATTGGGGGCTGGTGAAGAAAACCCTGCTGTATTCAGAGTGCTCTTGCTCGGGTAATTCTAAAAAAAAAGAGAAGAGAGAGAGAAAGAGAGACAGACAGACAGACAGACAGACAGACAGACAGACAGACAGACAGACAGAGAGACGGAGTGAGGGGAAGGAAAAGGGAAAGGGAGAAAAGAAAAGAAAGATTAGGTTATGGCAGGTTTAAAGTTACACTTCCCAGGATTTCCACCTTCTCTGCCTGAGATATATAGACCTTTATTCTCACTAAATCTGAATCACTTGAAAAAAGGCTCATATCAAACTGGAAATCTAAATTGTACAAAATAATTCAAGTTTCTAAAGTTACTAGTCTTGCAAAGTGGAAAAACTTAATATTACACTTCAACAAATAAATATAAACATTTAATTAGTATGCTCAGTGCATAAAAAGACTTGCAATCTCATAGCTCTAGATTTTTGTTTTAATGTGGTCCAATTTTTTAAAATTAAAATTCTGAAAAAAGCTTACAAGACCCCAAATTGTAATTTAAAATTGCCACTAAATTCTGGAAAGAAAAATGATGAAATATAACAAAGTTAATTCCTTATCTTTAAAACTCCAAAATATATATGCATATAAAATTTTTTAAGTCACCTTCTAGGTGTGACAAGAATGATTTAATTACCGAGTGTTACAGTTAACAATATCAAGCACAACATTTTAAGTGGAAGTAAACTTTGAATTTTTCCCCTCACTAACCTTTCTAGTATCAACTGATGCAAACACATTTCCTCTTGTACTACCACTGAAGCCAGAAACATATGTACTAAAGGCAATTTCTTCCAACCATGCAGGAACATCCTGTTGAGCCTTTAAAAAAATTCATATGCAACATGAAGTTTCAAAAGACTAGAAAAGTGTGTCTTAATGGAAAACACTATGCATTTGACTTTTACAATTTTTGAACTTTTATCTGTGCGGCTGGGCTGCCTAGCATGCACAAGGCCTTACACAGATGTCCAGTATCTCACATACACACACAAAAAAACCCCTAAAACTTACATCTGACAGTACTTTCACAAGAGCCTGTGCTAAATGATTGTCTGATTCAGGATCAAAAAAAGAAATAGCTCTTCCAGTATTCCCACAACGTCCAGTACGCCCAATTCGATGAACATATTCATCAATGGTGGAAGGAAGATCAAAATTAATAACATGTTGGACATTTTCAATATCCAGCCCTCTGGCAGCTACAGAAGTAGCAACAAGAACAGGGCACTTTCCACAGCGAAAATCTCCAAGGGCTTGCTCTCTCTCTCTCTGTTCCCGATCACTTGAAAAGAGAAAGGAAGCTTGTATTAGAACTACTTTTTAAAACAAAAATTACTAAAGTTTAACAAATTTTAAATAATAAAACAACAGAATTTATTATTAATGTCCACTCCTTACACACCAGGTACTACACTAATTCCTTCTAAGCCACAATTTTATCTTCACAATACTGAGTTAGAACAATTAACCTTATTTGCAGATGATGTAAGATAATAGCTAATATACAGCTATCAATTACAACAAAGGTCAAATACTCCCTATTAATAATCCCTTTGCTTTCCACGCATGACAAAAAAATATACAACTATTTTGTTAGGATACTTGCTCATAAAAGAGAGTTTTTAAGGTGCAATTTCAGAGTTCTGCATACTCAATGACACTTTAGATCCACTAGTAAAGTATCAACTCAGTAAAGTAATAAATATGACATGTTTTAAGCACTTGCCACCACCAATAAAACCCAAAATGAACAAAAAAAGGTCAGGCATTAGAAAGAGTAGAGTCAACAGAGGTCATACTTAGATAACTTAGAAATCCTTAAATGATATTTCTTAAAATGTTTCCATAATGAGAAGCCTAAGGCAGATTTCAACTCGACCATGCTCACCATTTGGTTCCGATAAAAGCTAAGAATGAAAATGAAGAGCATCAGGTAAGCTCTGCTAGGTGGCACTGTACTTTCCTGGGGCAAGGAGAGAAAAATTTAAAAAGGAGTTGCTGAGATCTTGAGAAAATTCTGAATCCTAGTCCTAGGATTATATCAGGTTAGTCATGTGCTGCTTAATGATGGAGACATGTTCTGAGAAATGTGTCATTAGGCTATTTCATCACTGTAGAAACATCATAGTGTGTATCTTATATAAATGTGCACAAACTATCACACATGACACCAATAGATAAAATTTTAGTGGGCCACTACCATATATGCCACCTGTCACTAACACATTGTGTGGTGCATGACTGCATATAAATTAATTTTCTTTAATGCTAAATGAAAGTCATGCTCCTATTAGGAATCATATTAATCTACTTACCCATGAATACTTGTAGTTGATACTTTTTCTTGACAGAGAAAGGTTGCAATAAAATCTGCTTTTTTCTTAGTTTCGACAAAGACCATAGTTCTTTCATCACCTACAAATCAATGACATGATTAACATTCAAACCACACACGTAGAAAAAAAAAAAAAAAAAACAGGCTACGTCTGAGTAAAAAACTTTCTCATCCACCACTGTACTAACAGCAGCGAGGACTTACTAGCCTGGTATACAGGAGGGAGTCAAATGTTTCCTGAATGGATGAATGCCAAAGACAGAGGTAAGTATAATTTTCTTAGTTGAGGGATTTTAAAAAAATAGCTTCCTTTGTCTCCTCTCCATCTCAGAAGCAAAAAACTTAAAGAAAGATAAATGATGACTGCCTATTAACTCTGAGTAGTTCCTGATAAATACTGTGCTTTAAGTATAAAAAGAGACACCAGAACAATCAAGATCCAGAGAAGGTTATAAAGAGTAACTAGATGATATCTGAATAAAGACAGAAATAAAGATAATAAATAAAGATGAACTCTACAGATACTGGGGAAAGAGGTAGAGGAAAGAAGAATATAGGCTCTGAAATGTTGAGTTTTCATGCTTTACAAAAAAAGCAAAGCAAGACTTTCTGAGTTGAGTGAACTGAAAATACAAAAGCAACAAGACAGAGTGCACTTGTTGTTTGCAAGGAACAGTAATAATCAGCAGAGTGGGCGGAGTTAGCAAGACAGAGGAGCACTAAGACAAAGGCAGGACAGCACCCGAGGCCACGTCAGGCAAGGCCTTAAGGGGCACCCGTGTACTATACCCACTCCCTAGGGTAGTCTCTCTTTACTCCACGATGGCGGTTGTGGGGTTTGAAGCAAAGAAGTAACCCTTGCAGCCACTACAGTGTAGACACACAGTGACAGTAGAGCCACGAGGGCTAGACTGACAGGTCAGAGGTGTCACAAGAGAAGGAATCAAGGACAAGTCCAAGATGGCGTACCTCAGCAGAGGGAAGAACATAAGCTAATACTAATTCATGTCTGCCTTAGGCAACCAAACGGAGAACTCAAAAAGGCAACTTGTTCCACAGTTAACACATGTTAAATTTTTGAGATGTGATCATTTTATATTTAAAGTAATGAATTTATATTTTATCAAAAACTATCAGGCTAGGTAGATGGCTCAGTAAAATAAGCACTTCCGTGGCAAGTGCAAGGGCCTGAGTTCAATCCCCAGTTCCCCTCCCCCCCAAAAAAATTATCTTTCATCAATTTTGAAAGTTATTCAACAAGTGGCCAATGCCAAAACTGATACATAAGACAAAGCCAAATATACAGTATTGCTATGCAGCTTAAGGCACAGTATTAATTTTTCCTGTTTATCAGTGAATCACAACTAGGAATGTAGATCAGACTTACACACATGGCATTTTGTGAAAATACAGATCTCTGATCCCTACTCTATACTTTCTGGATTTACTTGACATTCTTGGTATGAAAAATTATGTCTACCCATTTTCATAAATCTCACTGATCTATTGGACACTAGGCTCAGTTATCTTCATTAAAGACAACAGCCTTTGTTTTGCATATCATGGAAAAAATTCTTTATGAATAGCATTCTTATTAACCATCATCAGACATATTTAGCAATATCCAGTAACCACAGTCCTTACATTTCTATCAACAGAAACCTCAGTCCTTACATTTTTTTTTCTTTTGATGATTTTCCAAAGACGGTGCTATAAGCTAAAAATATGTTGAGATCTCAGACTTGTGAAAAAGAACTGTACCAGGCAAATAATTGATACTTCAAAGAACAAACTCTTGGGGGTGGGGGTCAGAGGATCTATGTTGACATTGCTTTGCCAACTTGCAGACTATACTAGTGGACTAAGCAAGATTTCTAGAAATAATCCAGAAGCAGAGGATTAAGTACTAAAAAGAAAACACCAGAAGACTCAAGATCCAGAGAAGGTCATAAAGAGAAATTAGATATCTGAATAAAGATAAAGCAAAAAGATTCCTAACAGATTCAAAGAATCAGAATTATACAAGAACTGAATGAGCTGACAGAGGACAGCTTATTGTTCCATTGCTTCAAATATTGTTAATATTTTAACGTTCTATTTTCTGGTTAAATCAAGAAGCCTTTTTCTTCTTAGGCCAACATAACTCATTTAGACCACTTGTATAAACAAAACTGAAACATTTTATAGTAGTATCTGATCTCATTTCTGACACTGCATCTAACCTAAATTCAAACTCTTAGTATGTTCCTTACATTTAACGGCTAATATAGAGTATTATCTGGACCAGTTCAGTAAAAATCTGTCTTCTTTTAATAGGATCTAACTGGACAGATTGAGCAAATAAGGTCTTGACTGAATTCACACTGAAAGTGACACAGTAGGCAGGACCAAAACAAAGACCAGCTCTCCTTATAAAACCAGACCCAACAAGGCTCTCCCAGATAAGCTATTCCAGTACTTGTTTTACATAGCCTAGTTTTGGAGACCCTAAAGAAAGTCACACTTTCTGAAAGGCCAGGGACATTAAGACCATTAGAAGAAAGAAATTCATTCAAATTTCTAGGTATATAGAGGTGAAAAACAGTAGGTACTGTTAATTAATTCCCTGTACCTCAGAAAGCAAAGCAATTCTTTTCGTAATTCAATACTACCTGACTTTTCATTTGCAAAACAAACTGAAGGTGGTTTATATTGTTTATGGAAAGTCTTGTCTTGATGAGAATACGTAAGCCAAACATTGTAAGATGAACTTACTATGTGACCAAGACAAGCCTCTGAGGTATACATAGGCTGTCAGTAAAAAATGTGCAAGATTTTGAAATGAGCCAAAAAGATTACTGTCGAGCACACCCTTAAGGGGAGTGCTACCTATGCCTTTTATAGTCTTGTTTAATTTATAACTCACTGCAACTGAAAGCAATGCAAAAGATTCTCAACAAAAATGCAAACAGAATTTTCCCTTAATAATTCCTTATTGTTTTATAGATGCTGATCAGTTTTACATTCCTTTGTAAAATAATTTTAGCATCTCTAATAGCCTATATATGCATGTGCTCTTTACACTTTTCTCTGAACAGTAGCCAGAATGGTGGTACACACCTGTGGTCTCTGTACTCAAGACGCTGAGTTAGGAGGACTACAATGAGTTTAAGGCCAACCTATGCTTCACAGTGAATTCCAGGTTAGCGTGAACAACTACAGTGAGACCTTGTCTCAGAGAAAAAGAAAAACTTTCTTCAAAACTATTAATATCTTACTTGTTCCTTTAATAAAGAGGTCATAAAATCTTTGATTGCCAGTGATTTAAAAATTAACATTATAAAAGATAGTCAGATATACTTCTGGACTAATGAATCCTATGCATTTTAAAAGCCAGCAGGCAAAAAATCAGGAAAATTTAGTGAATAATCAGAAGAGGAGATAATTACATTAACATAAAATTTGATGATATACACAAGAACAATGAACACTACACTGTTTAAATAATTCAGAAATATATCAATAATGGCCATATCTAGTAACTTTCTAAAAGGAAACTAGCACTTCTGAAAAACTTTCCTGGACTTATTCCCAAAGCAAATTTGATTCCAGTTTCTATACTGAAAATCTTAAGGTACCTATATTACACATATGTCCTGACTGTAACAAAACCACATGTAGTACTCATCTCTTCTGTATCTAAAGCTTCAGTTGATACCAAACAAGTCCCATGACCTTTTTGATTCAGTTTGCTCAATCCTACAGGGAGGATAATAACAAAACTCACCTTGTAAGGTTTTTTTGAGAATTAAATAGTTAACACATATAAGTCAATTAGAACAGTGTATCACTCACAGCTATTTTCATATGCTTTTACTATATGTTATAGTGCCTGATTAGGCAGAGCCCTAGAGCACAGTTGCTGTGGTATGATCCCTGGTATGCCATGCTGGGCTTGCCTCCAGGGTGTGCTGAGACAGTAATTAAGACTGAGTGTGGTGATGCATGCCTATAATACCAGCATCTTTTTTTTTTTTTTTTTTTTTTTTCCCCAGAACTGGGGATTGAACTCAGGCCCTTGCAATTGCCAGGCAAGCATTTATTCCACTGAGCCATCTCCCTGGCTACTATAAGTTATAAAACACTGATGAAGTGATTCATTTCAAACTCAAGCTAAGTATTTGTTAAAGAGTATTTTTTAAGCCTTTCAGTCCTTTCTAAACCTGTCCTTCCATGTTTTCTTTTTGCTTATTATTAGAACCAATTTCCTGACTTTACAGTCTTTTGTGTGAACACTTACATTCAAAAAGAAACAATTACTAAGACAAGATATTGTAAATGAAAGAAACTACAGCACAAAAATAAACCTAGTCTTCGATGTAACAAAGTGACCACAGAGAATAAGACAGGAGTGGTGACCTACATCTGTAGTTCCAGCTCTTAGGAGGCTAAGGCAGGAAGATCATTGTGAGTTTGAGGTCAGCCTGGGCTACAAAGTGAGCTCAAGGGCAGCTTGAACTGCACAGTGAGACCCTGTCTCAGAAAGGTTAATAATAATAATAATAATAATAGTAATAATATATGTATGTATGTATTTCAGTTATATCCAACAAAAATATTATTTTCCTTAAAAATGAAAATAATTTAAGGGATAGACAAAAATATTTTTCAAAGAGTCTGTGAAGGAAAGAATTAGCCCTCAAGTCTCTCCTAGCTCTGAAATTCTTTGAACCCATGACTACGAAAAGACTTAAGAGAATCTGCTATTGAGACAATAAAATAAAAAAAGTATTATTGAGCCTTTCCACTTTTTCGTATTTTCTTTTTTTTTTGGTGGAACCAGGGATTGAACTCAGGCCCTTGCACTTGCCAGGGAAGTGCTTACTCCACTGAGCCATCTTCCTGGCCTCAACTGTTTTATATTTTAAAGAGAATAAAAATTTTAAAAACATTAAATCAATACAGAATTTCAAAAGATGAGAGGAAATAAACCATGATTGCTATATTGCATATTGTTATCTTCAAAGTAATCCTTCAGATTATCAGCTATAATACAAAACTGGTCAATTTTTTATATTAATCTATTTTTAAAAAATAAAAATTACATATGCTACTGCAATAGTTGTTAGTGAAATATTGTTAAACTAAGCCTCTAATCTTTCCTATACTTAACCTTCATGGAATACAGATTACATATATAATTTACACAAAAAACTGATCAAAGTTTTTTGCTAAAAGAGTTTTAGAGGAAACAAAGCAAACTTATTAAAAGCTGTATCAAACAATTCCTTAGAGATTTTTAAAAATCAGGCATTTTAAAAAAGTAAAAATCATGACAAAAGGTAATTTTATTAACATAAGATACCTGTATTCTGCAGGATTTCGACCAGCTTTTCCCTCTTTGAGTATTGGCCAACTTGGAGAACAGTCTGCTGAACATCTCTACATGCTCCACCCACTTGTCCAACAGCAACAAACAAATAATCTGACTTTAAAAACTCCCCAGCCAACCTTGAGAGATAGAGAGATAGTTTCTTAGCTTATACTTTTCCACTCACACTCAAGATATTCACTGAAGTCCTACGACTCTTACCTGCACCTTCATCAGGCAACAGATATTAAATAATAAAATTAGGTGGTTATTTCTGTCATCCAAGTGTTATTTTCAAAGATAAGAATACTGCCATTTTGCAAGCTATACAATTATTAGCAAATAAATGTCAAATTATAGATGAAAAAATTCTGAGATTTGCTGTCCATCAAAAACTACATAAAATTTATATGTAATAAAAAGTATACCAGTCCTGGCCCAGGCCGAGTGAGTGTGTGGGAGAGCTTCCGACTACCCTGCGACAGCGGGACCTACCAGTCCCAACCCAGGTGCAGCTTGGGTGAGACCATCTTCCACCCCCTTGGGATGCCCTCCAACCACTCCGCAGCACCCCACCCCTACCCCGTCTGCCAAGTAGGAATTTCTGCTGCATTCCGGAAATCCCCAGATCCAGTCCTAGCCCAGGCCCAGTGAGTGTGTGGGAGAGCTGCCTCTCCCCGCTACTCCACCTTGTCCCCTCCAGACTCAGCTCAGGCCTGGCATACA